CCTATTCCTATTCCTATTCCTATTCCTATTCTTATTCTTATTACTATTCCTATCCCTATCCCTCTTCTCTTCTCTTCTCTTCTCTTCTCTTCTCTTCTCTTCTCTTCTCTTCTCTTCTCTTCTCTTCTCCTCTCCTCTCCTCTCCTCTCCTCTCCTCTCCTCTCCTCTCTTCCATTCCATTCCATTCCATTCCATTCTATTCCCACATCATTCGAAGGGTGTCCATCCCAAATTGCACAGCTAAAAGTCAGCAGAGATTCTCAATCATTCAGGTCATGGTGGACTGAAAATCTCTACAGACTTTTATGCCCAACTGTACCAAATCATCGGCACTTGTACCAAATCATGTGAAAAGCAGCTTACGTGGATAAGGAAGGGGTGGGTTTTTTTCCCCCTCCTCCCAGAGCTGCCTACTTGCACCGTTCCGTTGCAAAAGACACAAAAACAGCTTCCTTCTGTTTCCCCTCTTCGTTCACAGGCTTGTCTGCATTTTTAATCGCTAGATTAGAAACTTGCTTGGAAATGGTGTAGGGTCTCCTGCTTGGGCAGGGGGTTGGACTAGATGACCTACAAAGTCCCTTCCAAGTCTGTTAATCTGTAAACCTGTACCTAGGGGAACCCAGAAGCCTTCTGGTATTCAAAAGCAACGGCGATTTGTGAAACCCTTTTTGCATCAGGGTTTACCTCAGAGTTAAAACCAAGGCTGATTGAGTAACGTGATTTGTTTTCCTTGTCACATACCGGCTGACTTGTGTGTCTTGTGATAGAAAGCTTTTTTATTAACTGGGGAAGTCTTGCTAGAGTGGGAAGAGCTTTCAAAATAATAAGAAGTTGCTAAATAACCATTTTTCTCTCCTCCCCCCTCATTTGTTGCAAAAGCTTAAATGAAGATGAAAATACCAATTGCTGGAGAAGAAAAAATGGGCAGATGAGAAAGGAAGGATCTTGCTTTTGTGTGTCTATTGTTATCTATTGTTTCAGCTGTTTTTAAACATACAGTCACCCACGTGTAAAAATTATGGTATATTCCATGGGGTCTTCAAACTTGACAGCTTTAAGACTTGTGGACCAACTCCCAGAATTCCTCCTCCTGTCATGTTAGCTCAGGAATTCTGGGAGTTGAAGTCCAGAAGTCTTAAACTTGCCAAGTTTGAAGACCCTTGGTTTATTCCCGTGATGGCGAACCTATGGCACACGTGCCAAAAGTGGTATGCAGAACCATTTGTGCCGGCCTGGGAACTGCAGGAAAACTTACCTCACTGCACACGTGCGTACCTCACAGCTGATTTTCGGCCAGTTTGAGGCCTTTTTCGGCCTCCCAGAGGCTTGAGGAAGGCTCCTGCGGGCTCCTGCAAGCGCTGCAGGCTGAAAACTAGCCCCGTTTCGTCACTTTCCGGTATTTTAGAATAAAGTAAACTTAGCTAAACTAATAGGACTTTTCTGTTGTGCCTTATTTCTTATCATTGTTGTTGTTTTTTAAAAAGTTGTTTTAATTCCCACTAGGAAAAAAAGAAGAAGAACGAAGAGAAAGAGAGTGGGACAACCGAACCGACTTTGTGCAAAAGGATTGACGAAGAGGCTTTAAAGGAGAACAGCGCACCTGAAGGACTCGTTTCGGAATCCAGGCCTTGCCCTCAAGCCCCCCCGAAGGAAGCCGGGAAGAAGGACCCCAAAATGCCACCACGTGTGCTCACGCCTGAAAATGAGGGACCCCCAGCAGCTCCCCAAATGCAACCCCCCCTGGTTGCCAAAAAATTGCAGGAGGAGAAAAAGGCGGCAATGGGAGCCGTTGATGGCAAGAGGACTTGTGGCTCGTTGGAAGAAAGCATCCCACCCACGGAAAGTGCACCCTATAGTAGCCCTACAGAGCCTCCAGCTGCCCCTTCCTCCGAAAAGGCCCACCCCCCCATCTCCGTTCCCCAAATGGGAGTGAAAACATGCGTGGAGACCCCCGTCTTTAAAACGCTGTACCCCGATCTCTCGGTGTTGTTATCGGCAGGACTGACGGATTTTACCTTCCAGCTGCCGCCTCACGGGGAGCGGTTGTATCCCGAGCTTCCAGTCGATCCCGAGCCGATCCCTTTTACCAAAGAGCAGCTGAAGGTTTTCGAGCCCTGTTCCTGGCTGGAGAACGTCGAGGCTTACGTGGAGGAATTTGGCAGCAGGGCCTACCAGGACCGACACGAGTTTTATGAGCTGGTGTTGAATTACTGCCGGTGCCGGAAACAGCTGTTGCTGGCCGAAGCCAAACTGCAAAGCCTCTACTTGGATGGCGGAAGTGTCAAAGAGCGCCTGTGGACTTTCAGGGATAAGCAGCAGAGTGCCCAGGTGGGGTCAGGGAAGCTGGTTTGGGGCAGAATAACAGATGAGTTGGAAGGGACCTTGGAGGTCTTCTAGTCCAACCTCCCTGCTCAAGCAGGAAACCCTAGGATGTTTCAGACAAACTGGTTGTCATTCGAATCCTAGGGTTCAGAGCTCTGGTGTATGAAAGGCTCTTGTTGCCCAATGAGCCATGGTGGCACAGTGGTTAGAGTGAAGTACTGCAGGTTCCTTCTGCTGCCTGCCGGCTGCCTGCAATTTGGCAGATCGAGCCTCACCAGGTTCAAGGTTGACTCAGCCTTCCATCCTTCCGAGGTGGGTCAAATGAGGACCCAGATTGTTGGGGGCAAGAGGCTGACTCTGTAAACCGCTTATAGAGGGATGTAAAGCACCGTGAAGCGGTATATAAGTCTAACTGCTATTGCAAAGGATGGAAGGAAAGAAGGAAGGATGGATGGAAGGAAGGAAGAAAAAGGAAAGGAGCCAGAGTGGCATAGTGGTCAGGATGCAGTACTGCAAGCTAGGTCGCTGCTCACTACCAGGAGTTTGATTCTGACCGGCTCAAGGTTGACTCAGCCTTCTATCCTTCCGAGGTGGATAAAATGAGGACCCAGACTGTTGGGGGCAAGAGGCTGTAAACTACTTATAGAGGGATGTAAAGCACCGTGAAGCAGTATATACTGCAAGTCTAAGTGCTATTGCTCTTCCTTCCTTCCTTCCTTCCTTCCTTCCTTCCTTCCTTCCTTCCTTCCTTCCGCCACGGCAGTGGTTCGAGTGCAGTACTGCAGGCTACTTCTGCTGACTGCCGGCTGCCTGCAATTTGGCAAATGAAATCTCACCAGCCTCACGGTTGACTCAGCCTTCTATCCTTCCCAGGTCAGTAAAATGAAGCCCAGATTGTTGGGGGACAATAGGCTAACTCTGTAAACTGCTTAGAGAGGGCTGGAAACCACTGGAAAGGGGTATATAAGTCCAAGTGGTGTTGCTATTGCGATGGAAGGAAGGATAGATAGATAGATGTTGTGGCTCCGATTCCTGAGCCTGTGCTGTTACAGGAAGAGGACTCGGAAGATGAGGAGGAGGAACTGGGAATGCCTTCCTCCCCAGGACCTTCCTCCCTGATAATGCCTCAGGTTCCATTAGACAACCGAGAGGAACAGCCTGAGATTAATCAGGAGGAAGGCATATCGGAGCAGCCCCTGACAGAGAGTCAAGAGGAAGAATGTTGGCTTGATCCTAGGCAGCATCGTAGGGAGAAACGTGAGCAGCAACGTAGGAGGCGTGGGAGGGTCAGAGAGTGAGCTGAGTCATTGAGCCACACCCCACAGGGGATAAAAGTGGGTGTCTTGTCAGCTGGAACTTTGTACGGGACAAAGTTTGATCTTACTTCAGGTTTTCTTTGTGAATGATTTTCGTGGTCTGCCTTGTAATTTTCTGTAAGTAGCTTTTTATTTGTTATCAGTTCGGACTTGGCAGGCAGAGCGTGTTGGAATGCCAAGGACGTTATCAGCTCCTAAGAATTAACTCTGTGAAGTCCGAGCCAGCCTGCCTGCCTGTGTTTGTGTGAGTTTGTACTCTTTCATCTTTTGAGAGAGAAGAAAGGTGAGACAGAACAGAGAGAGGTAGTTTGACACCACTCCTGATCTAAGCTCACTCCGTGTTCCTTGATGTCCTTGCACCGAGAAGAAGGTGGGAGGACGCATCCTTTTTCATGATGTGAGGGAACGTGGATCCCAAACAGGCAGGCAGGCGCTAACCAATCAACCAGACATGGCGGCCAGGAATGGGATTTCGGGATTTTCCGAACTGTGTAGAATCTTAGCTAGGGGCTCTCCCGAACCTCTGCGAACGGCCAGCAGCCCAGTCCTGCTTTTAAGCGCTTTACAGTCTCAGCCTGATTGCTCCCAACAATCCTGGCTCCTCATTTTACCGACCCTGGAAGGATGGAAAAGGCAACCTTAAGCCAGTCAGGAAGGACCCAACTCCTGACAGTGAGCAGGGCTGACCTGCAATTCTGCATTTCTAACCCCTGCGCCCCCACGCTGAGCCCCAATTCCAGAGTTCCACAAGCTACTATCCCAAGTTTTGAAAATTTTGCTCCTTGCTTCTGTTTCTCGTCTTTAAAAAAAAACCCTCCAAAAAAGGTCACACAATTCTCACTTCCTGAATTGTGCCCCGTTGTGAGGAGTTTGGCAGGAACCCCTCGGGGTATCTGGGCCTCCGATCCTTTGACCGTCCCAGCCTTATTCAAAACCTTTTTTTGCGTTTTCCCAAGACTCCTTAATTGTGTCCATCCATACAGTTAACTGACATGGATGGTTGTGTGTGTGTGGTGTGTGTGTGTGTGTGTCCCTCCACAATTCAGGCATGGGAATTCAGTATTAATTTGGAAAGGAGCTAACCCAGTCCTGCTAGGCACAGCATTATTATAAGCAAACCTCAGCAAAAACGGCAAGCAAGTCAGCCCAGCTGGATTGTTGATTGTTTACATAACATCTTAAATCTTGTCCAATAATTGGATTAGTTTTCTCAGAAATTCCGTTCCTTTCAGCGTGATATCCTGAGCATAGACCTTGAGAGGAGCCGATTGCTTTTATAAATTCCCTCCAGAAATTTGAAGTAAACTGAACCCCTCTACCTGAAATGGTTCTGCGAGGCACTCCATGCAATCGATATATACAGTATGACGAACAAAACGTTTTGGATAATTTCCTGGCTGATGGTAGTCCTGGACATGCAACAAAATGAGCTTGTTTGGAAAATAAATCCACAACAGTCCAAATTCCCCCCACTCTCAAATAAATCTGTAAAATCCTGAGTGTTCCTCCCCCCTTTGTGCTTCTTTCAGGGTGTCTGTGCCGATCAGTGCAAAGTGTCTGGCTTTCACCGATACCAGACGGTTGAGGTGAACGAAGGCGCATTGGGAGAACTGAAGAAGCTCTTCGATGCTCAGACCGAACACCTGCACCAGATCCTCGCCCTTCACTTGTACACCTCAGTGTTGTCCCGCTTGCAAGTGGAGTCTTACCTCTACGACCTGCTGAGGGGCTCCCCCTTGCTAAGGTCGGTGGGCCTTCAGCAGCAGGAGTCAGCAGGTGGGTATCTGACAGCTCCACTCGGTGGACCAGGCCAGGGGGTCTCCAACCTTGGACAACTTTTAAGACTTACGGACTTCAATTCCCAGAGTTCCTCAGCCAGCTTGAAGACTTGTGGACTTTTAACTCTGGCAGTTGAAGTCCATAAGTCTAAAAGCTGCCTGAGGAACTCTGGAATGGAGTCTTGAAGTCCACAAACTCTGGAACGGAGGAACTCCACAAGTCTTAAAGTTGAAGTCCACAAATCTTGAAGTCCACAAACTCTGGAACGGAGAAACTCCACAAGTCTTAAAGTTAAAGTCCACAAATCTTGAAGTCCACAAACTCTGGAACGGAGGAACTCCACAAGTCTTAAAGTTGAAGTCCACAAGTCTTAAAGCTGGCTGAGGAACTCTGGTAATTGATGTCCACAAGTCTTAAAGTTGCCAAGTTTGTAGACCCCTGGACCAGACCATGAAATCACCCCAGCCCCCACTCCCCTGAAGGCTAAAACTGCTTTTGCAGGAAGTCCTCGACTTGCTGCTATTCTTCAAAGTTACGACGGTGCTGGGAAAAAAGTGACCGTTTTTCAGATGAGCATTGTAAGTGTCCCCATAGTCACGTTGATCCATATTCAGACGCTTGGCAACTGACTCCTATTTATGATGGTTACAGTTGGCTGGGATCATCCAGTCACCCTTTCTGGCAAGCAAAGTCAATGGAGGGGTCAGACTCACTTAGCAACCGATGACTGCAGTGATTCACTTTACAACTGTTGGGGAAGGCTGTAAAATGGGACAAAACTCAATAATTGCCTTAGCAATAGGAATTTTGGGCTCAGTTGTCATAAGTTGAGGACTACCTGCTTTGAGAATTCTCCACAAATCCCACTCCCTTCTAAGCACTGATCATGTTACATATCTCGGTCATGAAATGCCTGCAAGTAAACAAAAAAAACTCTGAGAGCTCCAAGGATCCTCTAGTCCTCCTCCTCCTCCTCCTCCTCCTCCTCCTCCTCCTCCTCACAAATCCTACTCCCTTCTAGCACTGATCATGTTACATATCTTGGTCATGAAATGCCTGCAAGTAAACAAAAAAACTCAGAGATCCAAGGATCCTCTAATCGTCGTCGTCGTCCTCCTCCTCCTCCTCCTCCTCCTCCTCCTCCTCCTCCTCCTCCTCATCCTCCTCCCCACCACCACCACAAACTCCACTCCCTTCTAGCTCTGATAATGTTTTTTAGTTGGGTAATGAAATGTGTGCCAGAAAGCAACCAAGCTCAGAGAGCACCAAGGATCCTATAGTTCTCGTCCTCCTCCTCCCCTTCCTGCTCCCCTTCCTCCTCCTCCTCGTGTTAGGGAGTTGTCTGGATGAGCTGCTTCTGAATGTAATCCGAGGATATTGTTAACTTAAACACGCGTTAGTCCCTTTTTCCTTGGCAATAAACGCTGCTTCCATCAAGAGCATCTTCCTTCTTTCTCAGTTCCCTTGGGAGAACATACAGGATAGCCTCATAGGATGTCGCGGGGTCACGTTTTTGTACCAAGAATCTCAAAAGATGCCACCATCCCCATAAATTACGGCCTTTCCCACCTCCTAATGGGTCTCTTAGAGCCATTTCTCCCTACTTCTTCTCTTTGCAGCTTTGAAGACCGTGGAATCCCCTTCCTCAGACTTGGAGTCCTTGAAAGACTGCATCAGCGTTCTCTTCAGCTTCACCCGCCGACTCACTGAAGATCCACAGTTCCAGAGCGATGTTCTCTTGTGGCTTCAGAGGCTGGTGAGGAGCCTCGTTTTAGGTCACATTTTGGGCCGTGCAGGTCACAATTCGAAGCTAGAATAGTAGGATAGATTTCATGAAGCGCTAGGGCTGGCTTAAGAGCATGTCCTTATGGGAATTGGCTGTTGGACTATGCAGTCTCTAAATTAGGGGGGTTGTGGGATTTCCTGGCTGAGGAATTCTGGGAGTTGAAGTCCACAAGTCTTAAAAGTCGCCAAGTTTGGAGACCCCCCCGCTCAAGGTCATTTTCCCCAACCTCAACGCCTTGAAGACGTGTGGATTTCAATTCCCAGAGTTCTCCAGTGGGGGCAGAATTCTGGGAATTGAAATCTACACGTCTTCAGGTTGCTGCACCTGGGAAGCACTGCTATAGCTTAAAACGGGAGCCTTCAAACTTGATAGCTTTAAGACTTGTGGACTTCAACTCCCAGAATTATTCCTCCTGTCATGTTAGCTCAGGAATTCTGGGAGTTGAAGTCCACGTGTCTTAAACTTGCCAAGTTTGAAGACCCTTGTGA